GCCGCTGTTCCACTAAGGGTGGGCACATTAGGGTCTCTCCTCCACGGTGTATGAGACCGTACAGTAAACATGACATTGAACTAGCAGAACTCACGAGATGTAATTAAAACACCTACTTATTCAATCTGTGCCTCTTATAGTCTCCTTCCACTGGATAAAAATGTCAGCATTCCTGGGACTTTTTCGGCACAAAAAACGGTCTCAACCGAGAAATTGGAAAGTTCAGTTCAGTAATATTAATCAGCTTTTCAATATTCATTACAGGGTTACACTTCTCCCCTGCTCCAAACTAGGGCCTGATAAAGGGCCACCTTCCTTCCCCAAATAGAGGGGGATGGCTCCCCTCCCCAGCCTGGTCTGGGTGGGAGGTGGGGGAGGAGGGGAGACCTAGTGCAGCAGGGCAGGTCTAGGGCCCCCGGCAAGGTGGAGCTGACTGGTGACCACCGTTCCTTCTCTCTCGCAACCTTCTGGGTTCTTCCCAGGGTCCCCTCTGGGCCCTTCAGCCTCCACTCACTTGCAGGGGCTGTGCCTCTATTTCGGTGGGCTGTTCCTGGTGACCCTCACCTTCTGTTCCAGTGGGACAGCCCACAGCCTCTTACTACAGGGGGTTTCTCTGCCCACAGCCTGCCATCTCGGGCAGGACCCCTTCCAAGTGGCTCCTGGCAGATACTGCAGGTGCCCCTCAGGGCCCCCAAGAGTCTTGCCGCAGTGACCCCCCCATCCAAGACAAGTCTGTTTCCTGGCAGCCTGATGCCTGGGGCGCAGGCCCCGCCTCTAGCCTTTCGATCCCTCTGGGTGTGCGGATGCTCACACGGGGCGCCCCCACCGCCACAGTGACGCACACCGAGCTCTCCCTGTCCCGCTGGTGAGGGCAGCCCCTCCACCCCTGAGGAGTGGTGTGCACAGCCCAGCTCGCTCCACGGAAACCCTCCGCGGAAATTCCCCCTCTGTACCCTGCAGCGTTCCCTCGAAAGTGGGATCGGGCGCCCACCAGGCAACCCTCAGCCCTGGGCAGTGCGCGACCACCGGGTATGATCGCACCTCTCTTTCCCCACCCTCCTGTCCCGCAGAACAGGCGCTGTCCAGGCTCCCCTAAAAAACATGGCTCCCTCTGCGGTCACCTTGTCCAGAGGCAAGATGACACACAGTCCGGGACACCAGGGAGCTCCTGATGGCACAGGCAGATGGAAGGACACCCTGTTGTGCCTTGCCGTCCAGTGTCCAACACAGACGGGGGGACTGAGGCCCTGGTGCCAACCCAGGCCAGACTCTTTCAAGCCAGCTGCTGCTGGGAGCCGAGGGCTGGACTGAATGACGAAAGGCAAAGGGAAGTCCTGGCTGAACCACCCAAGTCCAAGACAACTGCTGACTCTCAGGCACTCTGAGCGAGTGCGGAGTAGGAGAGAAAAAGCAAAACCAGGGTCACGTTTCGTAGATCCTACAACGTACAGCGGTTCTCTGACCACGGCGTTGGTGCCGGCTCTTCTGGGCTGCCCAGCCCACCCCACTGGCACCAGGCTGCCTTCATTTCTCAGCTTCTCGTGTGGAAACAGTTGGGGGAGCAGCTGATGACAAGGAGGGAGGGGGTAACTGAGGAGTAAGACAAAAACAGCCCAAGGAGAATGTTTCTGGTTCTTAAAAACGTGCTCACTGAAGAACAACTCGGAGATGCCACTGGGGTGTCCATCTGAAGCAGCCCCAGGGGTCTCTCTGGGTTGAGTGGGATGATGGTAGGGAAACTGGCAAGGATCCAGGAGCTTTACTTCATCCCTAGTTCTGCCACTCATTAGCTGTGTGACCTTGAGCAAGTCACTTACCCTCTCTGGTCCCTGCCTTGGCTACTTCCCCCTGTACCCCCCTTCCTGTAACACTCATCTCCGTTATCCAGCCAGGTAGCAAACTCCCTGAACTCCAGTCTGTGCAGTTCAGCCCTATGTCCTGCTCCTAGCACAGGGCCTGGCCTACAGTAGTGCTCAAGGTGGGAAAAAAAAAAACCTGAGTGAGTAAGATGAGCAGTGACTCTGTACCATGAACCCACTGTTCTTAATGCAGAAACAAGTGGCCTGCCTTCACCATCCCCGGACTGGGGCCCCCGCCCAGGCCTGCCCTTCAGAAGGCGTGTCACAAGCTGCACGACACATTTTTTTTCCTGTTTGGTCTTTTAAGAAACTTTTTCAGAAGATCAGTAACCAATGGACTAAACAGGACTGGGGAAAGGAACATAGCGTATTTAACGGGGGCCCTCTTGGGGGAGGAAAGTGGGGTCGGGGTCTGTGCCCTGGGAAACCACAGAAGGGGGTGCTCCGTGGTGGAAGGCACAGACCTGGGTCACGCACGCGGGTGTCTGGGCACACGGATGGTTGCACCCGCTCCCTCGCCTCTGGGAGCGGGGGACAGTTTGGGGAGGCCCTGGCTCCCTGGGGATCTTGACAGGTCAGTCTTCATCCTGGGGTCAGGTGGGTTCCCCTGGGTCCAGGTGCCCTGGGCACCTGTGCCAAGGCCAGGCTTCTGCTGCCAGCCCTTGGACTCCTAGTGGCCCAGCCGGCCATGAAACCACTGAGGCGCGCAGGCAGCAGGCTGCTGCCCGGAAAAAGAACAGGCTGCTCTGTCCTCTGGGGATTGGGCTGCAGGGCCCCGGGTAAGAACTGAGCGTGTCTGTGTGACTTCTTGTATCACTCCGAAACATTTAGGGACACACTATGAGGCCCTCTTGCTTCAAGTTCTGCAGATTCAGAAATGTGTCTCCTGGTTGCTGCATGCTCAGGCCTAACTAGTCAGTGCACTATCATTCCTCTATGTCTTTAATAAACCCTTTTTAAAGCTCCTACTATGTGCTAGATATTGTGCTGGCACCAGATGCTTCAAGGATGTCATTGCTGGGGAACGGTGACAGATACACAGGCACATAAACTTGGACGCTGCATGCTCAGAGCCGTGACAGACACATACAGGGTGTTTGGAATCACAGAGAAAAGTGTCTAAAGCAGAAGATGACAGATGACTTTTAGACTTAAGTGCCTCCCTCACTCACAAATCGAGGACAAATAGACTGTCAATCTGGAATGCAAGTGCTTTCTGGGAAAACTGGAAGAGTCCAACAACAATAACAACAAAATCTAATGAAAATACAACAGCAGGAGAAACTGTTGCTGTGATTCTTGAGTGTGCAATATTTGTCAGGCCCTGTGCCAAATCCCTTACATATGTCATCTCATTTAATCCTCAGAAACTGCATGAGGTTTCCTCATGGTCCTCATTTTGCAGATGAGAAAACTGGTTCAGAGAGGTTAAGTCATTTGCCTAAAGTCACAGAGCGAATGACCATTAAAGCCGGAATTTGAACCCAGGTCTGTCGCATTCCAGAATCTATGTCTTTAACCATCATGGCTTTAAATAAGCAAGAGTTGTGCACCTTCTATGCACCCAGCACTACTCTGGGCCTCGCAGACAAAAGGATCTTCCTGGCCATCCCGACTCTGGAAAGGAGAATCCTGCACATACCACAGGCTTCTCGGCCGCTAAGTCTGCCAGGCACATTTGACTGCAGTGCAGGTGTAGCTGTGGCAAATCAAATGACGGGCCCCTCTCAGGAAAGGAAGGCTAACACGACCAAGGTGTGTGGCTCCAGGATGAGGACAGTAGACATGCAGGACTGCTCAGTCAGAATAGAACAGCAGAGCACAGGGGTCTATAAAATAGGGAAAAGCCGAGACGAGGGGTGGTGTTCAGTGCATCCATCTCTCCATCTCCCAGGGGATGCAGCGCCTAGGCTCACAAACAAATCCAAACTTCAGTGCCCAGCTTCTCTTTCCCCTTAGCAGAGTTCGACAATGGGGACAATTGCATCCTTGGAAAAAACTCTCTTGCCTTGGCTTTCAGGATGCAAATCTCCCCCGACGCCCATTCTTCCTCTCTGGACAAGGTAGGCGAAGGCAAGTGAAGTGTCTGGGGAGCACACACTGAGGCATTTACTTCCAGGGCCACGCAAAGGCCTCCCTCTTCTGGGTCTTGAACTGTGGGCAGCCTTCCGGAACCGGCCCTGGGCTCTCTTCTCACCCTGGACTCTCTTCCCCAGTGATCTCACCCAGGCCTGCAGCTTCAGTGTCCACATCGGTTTAGAGGACTGCAGGCTGGCCTCTCCGAACCGGGGTTCCCATTGCACCTCCAAGTTCTGAGCCAAGTGTCCAACAGTCCACCTTGGAAGCCCCTCTTGGCTCACTTTATTCTTCTTCCTTTTCCTTCTTCCCTTCCTCTCCTCCTCCCTTCCTTCCTCTCGTTCTCTTCCTTTTTTTTTTTAAATACCTGAACAGTAATTTCGTTTTTGTTTAACCTTAAACCTGTCAATCATTTCTTTCCTTGAACAGCTTTATCTTGTTTGACATCCAGCTACACTCACTGGAAACTTAGTGAAAACTACTCAGTGATTCCACTGGCCAGTTATAACCACACAGCTAAGGTGTTTGGAACAGAAGCCATTATGCCAGATAAAATTTAGGGACTCTTATTATCTCTTCTTTTACAGAAATCCTCTCTCTATCATGGTGTAGTTTGATTAAAGGCCAGAAAGCAAATTCATTAAGTGAGACAAAATTTTAAACTTTCCCAAGTACCACTGTCAATAAGAAATCTTTCTTTCAAATACAAAATCAATTTCGTCAACTATACAATGAATTGTAATTTAATGTTTTTTCTCTTACTACTTCACTTCAAACAGTGATCTATACATTTGTTTAAGCAAAAATAAATTTCTGGTTTCTTCAGAATAAAGAAACATCAAGTGTGTTAGAGATACTACTAAAAATATTTCACTTATCAAATAGATGACCTGTGCATTGAAACACATAGAAATTTTCCCAATTAATTTTCAAATCTTATAGAACCTCTATTTTATAAAATATTATGTTTGACATCATTTGAATGAATGCTTTAACTAAAACTGATTCATAAGTCCCTATTACCATAACCGTCAGTTTTAACAAGTCTCCTAAATATGTTCTGCATCAGTTTTCTTGATTATTAGATGTCAATAATATGGACATATTTTCGATGTAACAGACGTTTAATGACATCAGTTTCCCTTCAACACACAAGCCGTCTGCTAATGATTTTATTGGCCATTTCCATCGGCCAGGAGGAGGCCCTTCCACCAATGTCTCCCATGGTTTCCACGGCATCATTTTTCCCGCCAGACTTAGTTCATTTTCAGCCTGAAGAATCACCTCTTCTATTTGGCCACCCTGAGTTAGGTCTTCTAATTTTTTAACATCTGGTTCCGCTTCAGCCATACCCAACTTCTCATTTGTAATCTGTTCTGTGTACTTTCTATACACTGCATTTTTAAAGGTTCACTCAAGAACATCCAGAATTTTTGTGTGCAATATTCTTAGCCTCTTGTGCAGACTCGCACATACTGCCAACCCCACGAGGTCAGTAGTTTTCTTTAGAAAGTCCTCCATGACAGCCCCAAAGACGGGAGTACCTCACCCCGGCTCTTTCGAAAACATTTCCAACTAAACTTTATCAAAGCAGAATTTAAGGTCCTCTCTCCAAACAGTCTTTCCCCAGTATGCCCAGCCTCAGTGAGTGGTTCCAGAATGTATCCAGTTCCCCATACTGAAACCTTGGTGTCATCCTTGACACAATCTCCTTCCAAACCCCCCACCCTGCCGACCCACCAAACACTGTCTGTTTACCTCCTTGGTGTCTCTGCATCTAGTCTACCACTACCCCAGGCCAGTCTGCCATGTTCTTGTATCTGAATAGCTGTGACAGTCTTTTATCTGGTCCCCTATATGGGCTCTCAGCATGCCCCCTTTTATGCCCATTCTCTAAGTCCAGAACCATGTTTTCAAATTGCACATCTGATTATATCACCTCCTCCTCTCATGCCTTGCTCAGAGCCTTTTAAAGGCTTCCCACTGCTCTTAGGATAAATCAGAATCCTTAAAATGGTATATGAGAACCTTCATGTTCTGGGTTCTACCCACTTCTCCACTCTCATTTTGATTCAGGCTTGGTCAAGGGACTCTGTACCAAATTCCCATGTGTGAGTGTGGGGAGCAAGGTCCCCATTCTAACAAATTACCTGACACCAGCTGGGTGTCCTAAAATTCAACTCGACTGTGGCACGGTCAACCTGGTGACCGAGTCAGATCCCACAGGTGCAGGGCTCGGAAACACGAGACTGCCTCCACCCCTCAGATGCCAATTGCAAGTCCCGGTTGTCACTGGTGCTTCTGATTTACCAGCTACAAATTCGATTAGTTTGCCAGAGCAACCCACAGAACTCAGAGAAACATTTTACTTACTAGACTGCCAGTGCACTATAGAGCTAAAACTCAGGAACAGCCAGACGGAAGAAAGGCGTAGGGGAATGCCACTCACCCACACCTCCACTGTCCGCCAACCTGAAAGCTCTCCCAATCCTGCCTTTCTTTTTAATGGAGGCTTCAGTACATAGGCATCATGATTCAACCACTGGCCTTTGGTAATTAATTCAAACTCCAGCCCCATTCCCCTCCCTGGAGTCCTGGAAAGTGAGACTGAGTGTTCCAACCCTTCAGTCATGTGGTTGGTTTCCCTAGCAACAAGCCCCCATCCTTAGGTGATTTCCAAAAATCAACTCATGAACAAACTCAGGGGTGGCTGAAAGGGGTTTATTATGAAGGTCAAGACACATTCATCACTCTAAACACTTAGGAAATCCCAAGGGTTTTAGGAAAAACCCTTGTGCCAGAAATGGGGATGAAGAGCAATATATATATCTATTTTTTTAATTATAAATCACAGTACCACAGTCATGATCTACAAGTCCCATCCAGACTCACCTGGCTTTCTTCTGCCCCTTGTCCTTCCTGGTTTCTCCTGATTACTGATGCTTTCCACTCTCTTCCTTTTCCCTAAGTAATTCCAAACAACCCTTTGCCCAATTTAGCCACTATTACCTAATGGATTTAACTCTTCCCAACTCAACTCAAGAGATGTTTCTTCCTGAAAATTCTTGCCGAAATCCATGACGGGGTTCGAAGCTCTAGGAGACATCAGATACCTCCTCTGTGGCACCTTCACGTTTGTGGGATTGGATCGATAGCTACCTCCCGGGCTGGCCTGTTGAGTTCAACGGTGTCTGTTGGACTCACTGCTGAATCTCCAGGGTCAGCCCAGTGCCAGGCACACAGAGTGGGCCCTGTAAGAATATTTACTAACTGCATGAAATGAATTTAGGGTAATTCAATACACTGTTTGGTGGGTTAAACTTGACAGTGCTTATTGGGCTTCCCCAAAACAGACAGCCTGAGTAAGGGCAAATAGCATCAGATAAAAACCATCTGATAGTAATTTCACTGTGCTCAGATAATTTGGTCCAACTTCGGAATTTATGGGGACTCGTGAGAGACTGGCAAAGCCGTTGGACAGTTACACCCTGTGGTCAGTTACACTCCCGTATTGTCCTGTTCGTACTCTGCACTGGCAGCAGCTTCTCCTGATGTTCTGTCTCTATGACTCCTCACCCAGCCTTTCCCTTCTCTCTCCTACATGACTTTCAAATGATTTCATCAGAAAACTCAATCTAACACACACATTTTTTAATCCAGACAGCCTGGCTGAAGAATTCTAGCTTACAGAAATATTCTTATCATTGCAATCAATATAATACAAAAAACATTCACTGCAGCAAGAAAGTAGAAACCATCTAAATGTCCACCAATAAAGAAAAGGATTAGTAAATTCTACTGCGGCATTGGAAAGAAGGCAGTAGATCTATATGTTCTGATGAGGAAGGTTGCATTTAATATCTTGATCAGGAAGAAAAATAAAGTTGAAGCATAATATGTACATTATGATCCACACCCCCCGTGCACACACACACACACAATACAGATGAGTACAGGAGTGGGCAGAAGTAGTTTTACAGTTGTGAGTACTCAAAATAGAGTTTATTCTTGTATTATAATTTATATACTAATTATTGCATTCTTTGTTGGTTGCTTTTCCCCGTGCTTGAGTGGTTTTTTTGACGAATAGAGCTATTGCATTCTTTATTATCATTATTAACCTACTTTTGCCCATCCCTACATATGTTTGTACAAGCCTTGTAAAAATCTGGAATAATACACATCAAACTGTTATAGCGAGGAGAGAGTCAGAGGAAAGTGACCCCACTTCTTGCTTCACAGTGCTCTGCATTATCTGAATTTGTGACAAAAGAATGTTATATTTGCAACTCTAAAACTCCAACAATATAGGTATTATATTCCAGCCCTTGTGGATCCTATCGATTGGTTCCCATAAGAATCAGCTCAACCTATGACTTAAGCTCAAGTCCAAGCTCTCCTGGTGCGCTGGGCAGCCTCTGGGGGATATTTGCACTTTATCAGAGAACAAAATGTAGGCCACAGGGAAAAACTGGAGGGGGATTAACTGTAGACTATGAAAAAATTATTGGGATGGAAGTGGAAGAGATGCTTATAAAATTTCAGGTAATATGCTGCTTTGATAAGGTAAGAGATCGTATGCAGAAGAAATCAAATATGCATGGGGAAGAGAACAGACTTTGTGATCAGAGAGACCTGGGTGCAGATGTTTCTCTACCACATGCTTTGGGCAAGTTGTCAGGCACTGTAAGACTTGGTTTTCTTATCTAACAGTTGGGGATAATGAAAAGGCAACGTTGTTCTGAGGAGTACATAAAAGTGTGCAGGAAAAGGTAGTTATTAACCTAAAGCAATCCACAAATTCAGTGCAATCCCTATCAAAATTCCAATGGCACTTTTGAGAGGTATAGGACATGTATTTCTAAAATTTGTGTGGAATGAAAGGAAACTGCAAATAGCCAAAGCAATCTTAAGAGAGAATGAAACTGGAGGCAGCACACTTCCTAATCTCAAACTGTTGCAGACCGCTCTGCCTGATTTTAGGAATTGTATCTCAACCCCTTGTGGCTAAGGGCGAGGGACGACTTCTGGAATGCCAGCCGCAGGAGACAAAGCTTGTCTTTGGTAGCAAACGCTGCCTCAGTTTCCTCTCCCTGCCCCCAGAGTTTGGTCGGAAGTCAATGACGGGTAAGACCCCTCACAGCAGGGGGCAACCTAAGCCAGACTCAATCACTTGGGAGGCCTTCATGAAAGGACTCGGGGGCTGCAACAAAGAGCAATGGACTCTGGCCTCCCCTCTACCGGCTTTGACATAGCCCCAATTCCCCCATGTTCTCTGGGAGAAGCGCTTCCTGGCTCTAACCCCCTGAAGCCTGAATACCTATTGGGAAGGGGTGCAGCTTCTTGCCTTGCTAGAGCGTGTCATGGAGAAAAATCTGGTATCACAAAGACTTGCTGATAAACCTGTGAAATCTGCTCTGCTAAGAGTGCTTTCATTCATATGTTAAGGGTTCAAGCACGAAACCCTAAAACTCTGTTCCTGACAGACTCTGACTCATACTAAGCCCTCAGATTTCTTTGAAATGTTATCTACTGTTTCATCCTTGCTGCCCTTTATTCCTTTGTATTAGAACCCAATAAAAGGCCCTGGAGGAGGGGGCTCAAGGCCTTTTTCTCCTCAGACAAACTGGCCACTGCCCATGGCCTTTTTCCTGTGGGAAAATGGCCACTTCTCCTCCCCAAGCAGATCACATCATGTCTCAGTCATGATCACTCTCATCCGTGGCACACGGGGCGACCTGCGAGGAAAGTCGCCCCCACATCAAGCCATATTACAAAGCACTATGGCACTGACATTAAAAACAGATGCACAGATCAATGAAACAGAGCAGTGAGCCCAGAAATAAACCCACACAAATACGATCAGTTAATTAATTACAAAGAATACATAATGAACATACAATAGGGACTGCATATTGAAGAATGTAACAATTATAAGCTGAGAATATACAATGGGGAAAGAAAGTCTCTTCAATGAATCGTTCTGAGAAAAGTGGACAACCACATGCAACAGCATGACACTGAACTACTATCTTACACCTTACACAAAAATTAACTCCAAATGGATTAAAGACTTGAAATCATTAAACTCCTAGAAGAAACCATAGGCAGTAAGCTGATCGCTATCAGCTTATAGGTGGTATTTTTTAAAATTTGAAACCAAAAACAAAGGCAACAAAAGGAAAAATAAACAAGTGGAACCACACCAGCTAAAAAGTTTCTGCACAACAACCTACTGAATGGGAGAAAATATTCATAAATCATGTACCCGATAAGGTGTTAACATCCCAAAATACAAAGAACTCATGCAACTCGATGGAAAAAAAAACAAACGATCCATTGTAAAAGTGGTCAGACCATCTGAATAGACATTTTTCTAAGGAAAATATACAGATGGCCAATAGGTATGTGAAAAAGTGTTCAATAACACTAATCTCCAGGGAATTGCAAATCGAAACCAGGAAGTAATATTATCCCACACCTGATAGAATAGCAATTATCAAAAGGATAAGAAATAAGGG